GGGATGGGCCTCCTCGGGCTGCGTCTCTGCCTCGGTGGCGTTGGCTTTGGCCTGCCACGGGAATCCCGTGACTTCTCGCAATCTTGCGGGCTTGGAGTTTAGGGGTTCAGGGTTTAGGGGTTTAGGGTTTAGGGGTTGAGAAGGTTTATTTTAAAGAAGGCACGGTCATAGAAAAAATATCACCATAACCCCCTTCTACATAAGCTGACGAGGCCCATCAAGCACCTGGAAGCCCAAAGTGCGGACCATCCTCCGACAACACAGTTGGAAAACAGTTATATTGCCGCCCTGGACGTGTACACTTGTGTTGTGGGTAACAACGAACACGTTAGTTTAGGGGTTTAGGGGTTTAGGGTTTAGGGTTTAGAGTTAGTTTTGATTCCTACCTTACCTAATGAAGGTCAACAGCAGATTTTGTCTTGAAACATACGATCCTGTGTACGTCGCACTTTCCACCCCAAGTGCGCCGAGACTGTCCGAGACAAGACCTAACAAAGCCCATCTCGACAAGGCTCGATATCCCTATGGCAAAGAGTCCAAGTATCTCATAATCATATACTCTCCCATTTACTAACCTACATAACGACTATTTAAAACCCAAGTATTGGGTTCTGTGAACCCAAAACATATGCAGTTGCTAAGGATATAGAGCACCACATGTTTCCCCCCACATACTGGTGGGATTCAGGAGCACGGCCCACTGCTGACTCACAGCCCGAAGGTGGTCAATGTCTTGCAGTCTACAGTCTACGGCGGATCCAGGTTTTTGGAACCCTAAACCCTAAACCCCTAAACCCCTAAGCGAAACTGTTGAACCCTAAACCTTGCGGCCGCCCGTATCCTCTGTAAATCATAGGGGGAGTAGGGGTCTTAATACTTAGACTAGTGTTTTGGGGTATCTACTACTCTAATTAAAAAAACGGAACCCTCAACAGAGTATAGGTAATTCTTAAGGCCCTTACATTACACTTCAACACATGTCTCGAACTGTCGAGGCCCGCAGTGGTAAAACGCAACACGGGAAGCTTGATGGCAAACCGAATGCTTCGAAGCGCATCACATGGCCGCCCGCAGCAAAACTCACCGTCGGATTCTTTGCATGTGGGTAGTTGTCAAAATTATGGTCCCTTTTGGGGTCCCCTAAGTAATAGGTGCCGTATTGTAATAGGGACCCAAAAAGGGACCATAATTTTGACAACCACCCATGTGAGCCTAGCCTTTCATGGACAAACCACGAGACCGAATCCCACACCCAATGCCCTGCAGATCTCAGACAGTAGACTTCAAGACTTAAGATTTTTCCCGACATCCTACTAAGTTACTATAGGGACCTTGAGAATTGAGACAGGGCTTTGGGTACATTATAGCATGACCCAACGTAAAGCGTAAAGTAAGGGAACTCCAAGAAAAAATATTGGGATGATAACGCTTCCCTGCAACACAAAGATACACAAAGCCCCAGACCACCAAGAACCCTTTTTTGGAACCCAACCACCAAGAACCCTCAACCCTAAACCCGAAACCCTAAAGCCCTAAACCCCAAACCCTAAACCCTACCAGGCCTCCTCTGGCTGGGTCTCACTCTCGGCTTCTTTGGCTTCAGCCTGCTCTTGGGCTCAGACTTGAGGCGGAGGGTTCAGGGTTTTTGTTTAGAGCTTTCGGGCTTTGGCTTCAGCGCTCTTTTTTCGCCTCCTGCATTGCTAGACACTTGTGAAGTCGCACACAGCATCGCTTCCACGACTCCAGACCGATCATGAAGCAAGGCTGAGTTTTAGGGGGTCTTTCGGAGTCTAATGCTTTCAGGGCTGACAAGGGTGGAGTCGCAGAAGCCCTGTGGCATGAAAGGTGTTTCGACATGCTTCGATCCTCAAACTCGCCACTGCCAGGCAAGGAATCACGATTGGTCCACGCTCGGCTTCCTCAAACTACTATACGCAGAGCCCAGGTCGGGAATGACATCGCCATGTAAGGAGTTTGGTCCGAAGATACGCATCGGAGTAACTAATCAATGTGTACCCATTACGGGTCCCTATATAGACGTATAAGCACCGAAACCCTGTTCCAATTATTAGGACACCCCGCCCCCATATTTACTGTGCCACTACTGAATAGCTGGTCATCCAATTCAACCACAGTCTGTGTGGCGTCGGTCGTAACCAACGGAAGCTCCCCAAGAAGAGCGAAGACCCCAAGGACTTTATGTGACCCCCCCGATGCGACCGCCATGCCCTCTGCTTCACTTCACATTTGTCGTTACTTAGCCCTTAGAGACAGGGATAACGCACGCGCACACACACACACACACGCACACGCACACGCACACGCACACGCACGCACGCGCACTCTCTAGGGCATCTGCTGGCAGTTTGCTGCAGATTACACATGCCAAACCTTAAATCCCGACACACACACACACACCCTTAATTGCGATGGAGTAAGGTGTCCGATTGCCATTGAAAGGATTATTAGAAGCAAAGTTGAACAGCTGAAGCACAAACCTCGAAAAATCCATCCAATATAGAAGATGACTAATTACTAGCAAGAAAAGGCCTTACGATACAAAAGAAGCTTTCATAATTAGAATAGGGGTTGGGGGTACTAGTATACTGTAAAGTAGTATAGGTAATTATTTAAGCCCCATATTGCATGAGCCACGCGACATCCCCATGACCCGAGCTCTGCTCGCGGCGCAGTCCTTCTCCTTCAGGAACTGCTGCCACGCTCTTCAAGAATCAAGCACGTAGGGTTTAGGGGTTGGGGGTTTAAGGCTTGTTAGGGCTTAGACTCAGAGTTTAGGTTTAGGGGTTTGGGGTCTAAGGCTTAAGTGCTTAGGCTCAGAGTTTAAACGGCTCAAAACGGCCTGAGTAGGGCGAGAGTCCCGACTCTTTGGGCCCAGTCCTTCTCCAGTCGTACTGCTTCAGGCAGGTTAGCAAAAAATCCGGATTCAGGGTCGATGCTGTTTTGCTGAGGTAGCTATAGGGGTTGAGGGTTTAGGTGTTTTATTCAAGGTGCATTGAACCTTTGTAGGGCTTAGGGTTTAGGGGACATGAGCAACAGAGCCGGCCCAGAGCTTTGGGCTTTGGGTAGTTCCGTTTCAACACGTTAAGTGTTAGAGCACATGAACGACCCCGTCCCCAGAGGGTCCCAAGAGACTACCATTATGGAAGTAGGCCCCTAAGACCATTCTAGTCATGGGTGTTGGGTGGCCGAATTCCATCATGGTCGTGTATATGGACCCTCTTGGGTCACAGTCGGAGCCATGAATTTCTCGCGTAGCGGTACAGAGGGATTCAGAAAACCATCACAAGACACTGGTTTCGACTTCCCGTGTGTCCTGTGCAAATGAAAGCAGAGCTTTGCGTAAGCAAGATCTCAATTCCAGAACCACCTTCTTGGCAGTTGCATTAGCGGTTATCGCACAGTATGGACATGTCCGAAGATGTCCATCGTAGACAATCAGAGACCCACCGGAAACGATAAGTGGAACTACATGATCCCCAAAGCTGCAATTGGGTATGACCTTGTGAAGATGAAGCCCTAGTATTTAAGACAACGTGTATATGGTTATATATATATTTATGTAATTAAATATGTTGTGTATATATATATATATATGTTGTATATTTCAAACTCGCTTGCTCCATCGGTCTCACTGTGGATGCGCGCCTTCCACCGGTCTCACTACAACGGAAGACATGGAGTCCAGCAGCCTCTGCCGACTTACCGCTTTTTCTAGCCGCCCCTGCTTGGAGGTCCATGGGTAGTAGTAAGTGGGAGTTACAAGTAGGGTAACTATCGTTTCTCATTAGGTTAGGGGACTATAAGCCAGGGAAATAAAAGGTTTAACTTTCAGGTTGCTACTAAATTATAAGAACCCAACAAGTTTAAAGGTTGGGTATGGGGGAACTAAGCTTAACACTACCCATGAACCTCCAAGTGCAGACCTCAAGGTTCAGCATGTCGCCAGAAGATCGCACAATGGCATGGTACAAGGGACAGGCAGCTGGATACCATCTGCATGAGACGGCGGTTAAGGTCGCTCGTCGCACTAAAACAAAAAAGCCCTCATGCAAGAGTCGAAAATTGGCTTCTGTACTTCGGCTCACCGCCAAAAAAGATTGTCACAGCCCTGCTTGGATCCAGCTGCAAGGCTATTGTTCTCACATAAGTCTGGGCTTAGATGCCTAGGCGGCCTTTAGCTGACCGGAAGGCTGTGACCACCGCGGCGGAAGCCCCTGTGTAGGGGTACAAGGTTGACAAAACTTGACACCTACTTGTCGAGGTCAAGGTAAACCCTTCCTGGACTATATCGAAATCGTACTACCCAGCAGGTTCAAGGGGCCCGGAACTGCCGTGCCCTAAACCCTCAACCCTTAACTACGGAAATTCTTCATCAGAAACAGTGCCGCCCGGGTGTTGATGGGCTGCTCCCCAAGGACTTGGATTTTATGCAGTCGACTTGAACAGCCCTACTCTGTAGGGCTGTCTGCCGGCTGCACTCAGCAGGCAGACTTTTGCGCAGCTGTTGCCATCATTGTGCCGAAGCATCCAGTCGGCACATCTCAACAGGAGAATTCAGGTATTGCGCCGTGAAAGCTTGAGGACACTAGGATGCTTAGATAAGGTGTGAGAGGGTGGGGCTTGAGTTGCAGAACGACACTTTGAGCGACGCAACGCGTGCTTCATGGCAGGCAGATACAGCTCTTGACTTGCAGCCTCCACCAGCCACCGTCTCCAACCACAGGTAAGGCCAGGACGTGCTGGGCCAAAGAAAACTCACATACTTATATACACTCGCTGTATATGTATATGTTATCCGACGGACTGACTATGTATACATGTACATACACTCTATATACAAACATTAGCGAAATATGTCATTGTGTTTATATAGCTATAAATATAGATATAGATGCGGATATTTAATAAAATATAGATACAGATATAGATATAGTGTGTTGGCAACCCTGGAGCCAGCAGCAAAGTAGTCTTGCTGCGGCTCAACCGTTGAATTCTATGTTCCGCATGGCTTCAAGATCATCGGCGAGCTGCTCGATGCGTGTCACCATAAGCTCACGAAACTCGCCACGATTTGCCTTCGATACCTTAGCTGCTGAGGAAAGTTAACTTTATTAAATCATGGGAGGGCTCTGTAAATCGCGAAAGCTGAAAGGTTACTCGGCCACGAAGGGACAGAGACAAGGGCAAGTTGGCGGAAGGGCATGCGGACTAGCACCCGCTCAAGACGTCGCGCGCATTCAAACGTGACCTCCTCAACGGCATCATGCTTCATGGCCTCCTTCGCCACCAAGTCCAGGATGTCCTTCGCCAGATGCAGGAAGCCATTCATTCTTGCGTTCATCTTCAGGATGCTCTGAAGCAGCAAAAGCGCTTCGCGCTTGCCCATCAAGTTCAACTTCGTGCGCTGCTGCTTGTCAAGTGTGGGAAAGCCATCTGCATGCGGCATGTGGCAGAAGTTGCACTGCGCTGCCGCGGTGCAATTGCCGGACACATAGTAGATGCATGGGCGCTTGCAAAGGTCTGGGTGCCCCCTGCTCCCACAACTTGCCGCCGACGCGAAGGCCACAGGATGATCTCCAGCCTTGTCGACGACAGCTTCTTCTTTGCGAGTGGGAGCTGTGGCTGCAACAACGTCAGCAAGGCGGTGCATGCTAGAGGTACCCAGCGACTGCACGTAGCCTCGCAGGCTTTCCTCTTCGATCATTGCATCGGAGGCGGTTTCGAGATGTGTCACACCGGGTGGCTGGCTAACGCTTCGACGATGAGAGCCAGAATTCGCCACCACCGGCACCTCGTCGATGAAGGTGCGGCTGTACACAAGAGTCACCTCCCCTCCGATACGATCGAAGACAGCCATGGCCGGCGTGGGCTTGCGCTATCCTACAGCGCTTGAAGCCGGAAATCCAACAAGGCTTGAGCCAGAGTTGAGTTCGCTCCATGCGAGTTCAATCAACGCCGCAACGCCTTCGTTTACATGCGTTGCTCAAACCTCTCGCGCAACAAGCCTTTTCCAGGAACCACAGTGTCTGCGCAATGAGCTAAATCTGCACGTGCCTCGGCCGATGTCCGGGTCTCTTGCGCTTCGAGTGCTTTGGCATCGGCCTGTCGCTGGGCGGCACACAGCTTTCTCGGATGCTGTTGAGTTCAGCTTCTTTTGCTTCATGGCTTCAGGGCTTCTAAGGTTTACAAGTGATATGGGCTCTTCGGGTTTTTCTATCTCGAGTCTCGTGTCTGCTTCAGCTTACCGGGTGAAGTCGAAGAACCCCCGTTGCAAAACAAACCTTCGACATGTTTCGGCTCTCGCCCTCGCTTTAGGGTTTGCAGAATTCAGGCAGCAGGACTGCCGGTCTACCAGAACAAAAAGGATTAAGAAAGAGCAGCGGATCAATCAGAAAATATGACAATTTCAAAATCAGTAGCCAGGCCCTGGACGGCCCTCTTTTTTTGTTGCACACAATGTAGCTTGCCGCACATGCTACTCTTCCAAGGCTTCAAAAATTGGCTTCAAATACGGCTGATTACAGGATTTCCGGTAACAGTGGCAGCGGCTGTAGCAATAGTACTCGTAGTAGTAGTAGTAGTAGTAGTAGTAGTAGTAATAGTAGTAGTAGTAGTAGTAATAGTAGTAGTAGTAGTAGTAGTAGTAATGGCAGCAGTAAAACTAGTAATAATAATAATGATCGTATAGCAGTAGTACTAGTGCTAATACTCGAACTAGTAGTGGTAAAGAGCAGGGGGGTGGGGGGGGCCGCAGCCCTTTCCCTCTATTTGCACACAAGGTCCGCGTGCCGGGTTTTGGCAAGGTTTCAATTGGTTTCAGTTGTTGTTCCATGCAGAAGGCTTGCACGGCTCAACAAGAAGAGCAGGGGGTGGCGACGGCGCCAATCCCCCCCGGTTTGAAAACACCAGGCCTGCATGCGGTTCGTATGGGTACAGTTGCTGATGGCACGAAGTTCCGCAAACGGAAGCTTGCACGCCTCTCCACACAAAAATCTCCACAGACAGCGGAAGGGGGGGAGGAGCAGACCCCAGTTGCATAACAACAATAAAAATTAATGGCAACCAACAATACTATTAATACTGATTGTAACAGTGGTAGTAAACACGCGAAAAACAGTTCTCATACACCAATAATAACAATAACAATATCAACGAAAACAATAAAAAGACGAAGAAGAATCGTGTGATTAATCAAAATGCTTACAATAAAACTACTAATGGTGATAATCGCAATGACCGTGGTCATAGTAACAATAATAATTGTAGTAATCATGGTAAGAATGGTAATAAGAGGCATCTTAGAAATATTGGCGACAATAGTAATAATCGCAAGTAATAGGAATATGCCAATCATATTCATAACAACAATAAGAACCATAGTAATCATAGCGGAGTTCTTTCTTTGTTGGGTTTTTCAATTCTTTTCATCCCTACCCCACTCGGCTCACTCAAACTGGAGCTCAAAAGAACGAGTAAGGTAGAGTCATAGAAGGTAGTTTCTTGCCATGTTCCACCATACAAAAAATACAAAAAACACAAGTAAATATCATCAACATACCAGAAAATAAAACCAACATGGGAACAGCAACAGGAAATATAAAAACAAACACAGCCCATCAAGATATACTGCCGACACACATGCACAAACACAGAAGCCTAACATCCACAGCTCAAGCAAAGTAAAAAAAACAACAACAGACACAAAGCATACATCCAACACACCATAAAGTACAAACGATTACAAGCAAAATACAAGAACATACAAGCTAAATACACAAAAATACTAGCAAAAACACGCACAAAATCAAGCAAAATACAAAAATACAAAAATACGAAAATAAAAACTTCAAAAAATACGAGAAATACAAAAACACAAAAAACATGAAAACAAACACAAACCAAAAATACAAAAAATACGGATCTGGATGCAGCAATATGGCGTTACAGAAAGAAATTACTAGGTTTGGATATACATAGAATAATACTCTCCCCACGGCACATTCCAACAGCAGACCCCCCGGCAAGCAATGGCACGATATCGTATGTTTTCGAAGGCCTATGGTTTTTTTTTCGGATGCCCATGGTGTTTTTTCGCATGCCCATGGTATTTTTCGAAGGTTTTGGTATGTTTTCGTATGTTTTGGTATGTTTTCGTATTTTTGGGTATGTTTTCGTATTTTTTGGTATGTTTTCGTATTTTTAAGTATGTTTTCGTATTTTGGTCTATCTGGCCCCAACCACAAGAAACAACCTTCTATGAATCTACCTTAGTCGCTCTAAAGATGGAGTCAAACGGGCTCAGACAAAAACCACTAATCTGACTCTACGCCAGCCACCCAGACCTCATCGATCGTGCCAATCAAGAAGTAGAAACCAGCACCAAGCAACTCGTGAGAACAGCAGCCGCGGATTGCCATTGGGCCAATGGGCCTCATTGTTCGAACAGAAGATTCGCGCAGAAGAGCGAACACCCTAAACTGCGAAAGTACAATGTACTCAGATAGCACACTAACAATACTCTAAAGTACTGCGTGCACTGCTCACTCAACCTCAGATCAAAGTAACCCTGAAGGTCACGGAGCACCTCTTTCCAGGGATCGCAAAAAGTGATCATGATCTTGAGCCACGGAATGGCAAAGTCGGGGGCATAGGATAACGTGTTATGTTCACACGCCTCCTTGAGATAAAGTACTGTACTTTACTCTCACATGACGTATATATAACACGTGGGAGAAATTAGAAGCATGTAACAGTGTGCTTCACAGGGTTCGGAGACAGTGGCGTTTTGCTGCCAGCGCCAAAGTTGCAACGATGCCTCCTATCTACAGCATCCAAATGTTACCTTGAAAAAAGTTCGTAGTGCACGTATCGCCGGCCCATTCAAGTGCAGCGACAAAGTTGCGTTGGTAGTGACCAGAAAAGTAACGTACGTCGGCACATTAAAGTGTAGCGACCAGCTCCCAGAGCAAAGTTGAGGACCCAACCACAAATAGCGAAGAGGGGTCCTTTCAAAGTCTTGGCCGCGCAAAGTGTTGCAGCAATTCTCGTGGGACTTTAAAGTCCCAGGCCGGGGGTCTGTTGAACGTTGAACGGCCTCCCGCGCATGAGCTGGTACAGGTATGTGGAAAAGTCTGTAGAAGGCCGGGTTGGGCTGCTGGAACAAAGTGTTCAGAATCAAATTGATCATCGACTGCAGAGTTGCAGCGTCTTCCTGATGCTTCAGCGTCAAAGTGCCACGCATAGCAAGGAAAAAGCCAACGTAGCGCCGGTTCCAGACTCGGCCACCTTGTAAAAGTTCATTCCATCTGCGCCAAGAAAGTCGCATGCCCAAAGTGGTGACCATGTTGCCGAATGTAAAGTCCAGCATCCCCTGTTGTTCTCTTATCGACAACCCAAAAGTCATAATGAGGAATGTGCTTCTCGGAGAAAACGAAAAGTTGAGGGCCTGATCTGAACCCCACATACAGTCAGCTCCCGAAAGTTGAAAAGGTCCTCCTCGCAGTGCTTGCAGAAATCGAGGTACAAAAAGTTGCACTCGGAAAACTGACATATATCATAAAAGTACACATATCATCGGCACTCAAAAGTACCAGGCACATTGAAAAGTGGCCGGCGAAAAACCACCTGAAACACAGTCAGCTGCACCAACTGCAATCCAAAGTGTGTCCACATCAGTGGACGCTCGCGGCCTGGATACAAAGTAGCAGCAAGCCTCGGCAAGTCCAGCAAAAATTTAGGACCTGGGGCTACGTGCCCTGCCTGCAAAGTGCCGAACATTGGCACTCCAGACCATTGCCGTGCCGGCCGTCCAGGCTGGCCGGACACCCACAAACTTGTTCCAACCGAGACTACACAGTAGGGGACGTCGCAAACGTAGAAGTGTAGGAAGCAGGGCTGGCCATCAAAGTCAACCTTCACAAGTCTCCTGCCAAAGAACGTCAAAGGTTGCCCTAAAATGCTGCTCAAAGGTGGAGCCCTACCTGTGAGTGGCAAAAGTAGCCCCTCCGAAGCGAAGTCCTTCGGACAACAATGTGTGACAGCTCCTGAATCGAAAAGTATCCAGGGGTCCGAATCTGCCAAAGTAGATGCCACCAAATGCTGCTCCAAAGCAACATCCTTGAAACTCGTATTCAGTTCTGAAGACCGAGATCACCAACACTGAAAAGTCGT